ATGACCTATGCCAACTTCAGCTCTCTAAAGGAAAAATAATCACCTATGCTGATGATACTGCCCTTTTCTTTGCCGATGATTCCTGGCATAATGTTTTTGAGAACGCTCAGATGGGATTAAATAGGGTCTGTGAATGGCTTAGTTACAATGTCTTAACACTGAATGTTGATAAAACAAAGTACATTGCATTTGGTCATAGAGCTAACCTTCTTCCACCTCTATCTTTGACAATCACAGCCCACACCTGTGGTCTTAGACTTCCCGGATGTCACTGCCCCTTAGTTGAAAGAACCGATAAAATCAAATATCTTGGTATTTTGATTGATCAGACTTTAACGTTCAAACCCCACTTTGAAGCTTTAGTATCCCGTCTGCGAAAACTCATATTTATATTCAGAACCTTAAAACATATAGCAGAACGCCGTGTTATAATGATAGTTTACTTCGCTTTATGTCAGTCTCTGATTGAATATTGTATAACATCATGGGGAGGAGGTGCCAAAACATATCTTATAGAAGTAGAGAGAGCACAGCGTGCAATTCTCAAAGCAGGTGCCGGTCTCCCTTTCCATTTTCCTACAGACGAGCTGTATAAAAAATGGGATGTACTAACGGTTAGACAAACCTTCATCCTGCATATCGTACTTAGACAGCATTCTCATCTACATTATAACCCGGATTTTCTTAAGGATAAGCGCCGCAAAGATATAATTTGCAAAACTCAAACTTTCAACTCAGCTCTTTCACGTAAGTTTTTCTGCTTCATGGGACCCTTTCTTTATAACAAACTAAACAAAAATTTAAACATATATCCCAAAACCAAATCTAGTTGTAAAATAACATTGACAAAATTCTTAAAAACCCTTAATTACCAAGATACTGAGAATCTTCTTTTAACCCAACATTAATAATTTAAATTTTCTCAAACGAGTAAATTACTCATATAACAATTTCTAAAACCGCTAATAACGATACTGATACCGCTAATAACGGACAATGCTGCAGTTATATTAGTAGTATAGTTGTAGCACGAATGGGTCGGCTCGACCGGGGAAGGACCACGCTCGCACTGAATACAAGCGTAAAATAGTAGCTCAATACTGCTGTGTTTTGTATGGTGAGTGTAGAGAACTGGAGACCCTTTTTACTGGAAACGAGGAATTCCTTCTTAGTCCTCACTGGTGACCATGCATCTGCATTTTGATTTGTAATCGAGGATAGATGTAGATATCTATGGGCCGCAGCAACCACTTACCATCAGGTGGACTGTGTGCTCGTTTGTCACCCTATACTATAAAAAAAATTACAGCCTGTAAAAGTCCACTGCTGAACACATGCTGCACTCATAGACTGCCTCACGGGGGGATTTTGCTATAGCTTGCCAAATGCAGTTTTTATTAGTTCAGGTTGTTATCAGGAAGATGCTGCTGCCCAGCACCTGTTTAAATTTCCCTCTGTCACATCTTACGACACGGGACATGGGGAGTGGATATTCTTACACCTCACTACTTGCTCAGTTAATGTAATGAACTCATACTTAACTTATTTAATTTATGTGTAGGTTTTATTCGTAAATTCAAAAGATATGCAACAGGTGTTTTTCTAATATCGGATCAAGTAGTAAAATGATAAGATAAAGCTTCGCAAAGGCTTCTCGCTTAAAGGCTAAGAATACTTATTTATTTATTTAAAAAGGTACACCAACAGTACCTGTATACATATATTATAAGAGTTACATTTATAAAGCACAATTCCTTATATATATACCTATTATAGGCGTACTTAACATTGACAGAAACCACCACAGGTTGGACTGATTGTATGAAAAATTTAGTTTTTTTTTTGTTGTTTTTTTTTATTTTGTAAATATTTTAATGTCATGTAAATGAATGCGTAAGTAAAAATAAATATATCATAATAAGATACTTTGTGGGATAAAGTAAATAGGAGCCGAAGTTAATAGAACCCTCCACTGGATTTTTTATTTAAATGAAATGTTATATCATGGCTTAAAGACTATATTATTATGCCGTAATTTAGGATAAATATGGGCAGGATTTATATTCTATCTGGGGTCGTGTGTTCAAATTATATCTATTTTAAGAACTATCAATGTTCCGTGCACGTCGTACTTTAATCCAAATTATTTGACAAGTGTTAAAATCTCAATTTTTTGAGATTTATACGTGCATTATTGAAAAACATATGGCGAGTGTTGACTTTCATACCCAAACACAGATAATAAGTAAAATAGTTGAAGTGCAGTTACAATCTAGTTCAAATAATACAATTCTTTTGCACTGTGTCTGTTTGAGACGAATTTTTAATATAAGTTCATCAAGTAAAATTAAATTAAATTAAATTTCTCATATCATGCATGTCATATTTGATTGGATTAGAACAGTATAGTATATATAATTAAAAAATCAACTAAAGTAATAAAGCTTTGCACCGAGTTAATTACTAACTTAGTCGGCTTTAAAACAATTTAAGTAAAACTTCCTGAGCGGACAACGTCGCGGAAACAGATAGTTATAAATAAAATTGTAAGCTTAAAAAAAGACTCCAGAATTTCTTGCCGGTTCTTATTGCTAAGGTCATATTTTTGTGAACCAGTGTAGATTCTACCATTCATAAGGACTATAAACAAGTGTAAAACGTCTTAATCATTACTTTGTAATAAAATATACGGACCGGAGACTGGGAGCAGTTTGATGGTGGTCTTGTATGGTGATCCCGAAATCCGCTTGACAAGCTTGGTAATTGAGGCAAATGATTACGTTACTACGACAAAACCCAATGCCCAGCAGTGGGCACTTTACCGGCTTATCAATACAGACTTTTTATAAAATAGCTGCTTACCTCTACCTACCTAGCAAGGCGAGTACAATACACCCCTAATTAAGAAAATACTACACAATATATTATTCCCTTAATATCAACAATTCCAAATACATGTGTTCAATATTAATTTACTTGAAATATAGTTATATTATGTCAAAGTTTTTTTTAGAGAATAATGGTGACAAACTCGCATGCAGTCCAACTGATGGTAAGTGGATCCTATGGGTCATAGATACCTACATCTATCTTCAAGTAAGAATCAAATTGCTTATGCGTTGCTATTTCTTAGGACTATGGTATCGTTCCTAATAAAACGGATCTCCAGTTTTTTATTCTCACCGTACAAAACACAGCAGCATTAAGCTGCTGTGTTATTATACGCTTGTGTTTTGTAAGAGCGTAGACCTTCCCAACAAAACAGAAAATTACACACAAAAATTATTTTAATTTAGGAAATGTCAATTTAGTACTTACGTTAATTCTTAATAACCGATTAAGGACATGTGCACGAGTAATGCTGGGTATTCTCCGCACGGATACAGGTCTTTCAATACTTAGTAAATGAGCGAACAGATCATTGACATAATCACTCTCGATGCAGTTCGTGTATGACTCCTCAACTGCAAACAGAAAGAAAATATTTTTAGGAAAATGGTCTATAAGTCTCTCAGAAATAAGACCTTTCTTAAAAGAAACTCCCTCTGCTCCAATGCGTATATATATTCCATAGAGAGTTTTAAGATTCTGTGATACAACTTCTTAATACAGCTTTGGTCTAGGCATGAAAAATTTAATTAAGTACCAACATTTCTAATACTAGACTAATATGTTTTTTTTTATGCGAGAGGGGGCAAACGGGCATACGGCTCACTTGATGGTAAGTGAGTACCACCGCACATGAACAGCTGCAACACCAGGGGGATTGCAGATGCGTTGCCGGCCTTTTAAAAAGAAATAGGCTCTTTTCTTGAAGGTCCCTAACTCGTATCGGTTCGGAAAAATCTCTGGTGGTAGTTGATTCCACAAGGAAGTTTTGCGAGGAAGAAAACTTTTTTTTAAATCGCTTAGTGGTGGGCCGCCAGTCATCCAGATGATATGGATGGTATCGCGATGTGTGATGGTGAAACTGTGCGGCTGGAATTAGTTCGAACAATTCCTCAGAGCACTCCTCGTGGTTGATGCGATAAAATACGCAAAGAGATGCAATATCTCTTCGCAGTGCCAGTGAGTCAAGCCGTATGGTATACGTAATGTTCTAAATATTTACGAATGAATTTTTACTCATAAAAAAAACAGTAGAATATTAAAGGAGCATCTAAATGCCCAATTAGGTAACAAGTCTTCCCTAACTATTGAGAACGTATTGCAGCGGAAAGGAAACGTAGCTCTAGTTCATTTTACCGTAAATCATATATTTTCGATATAATTGAGAATTGGAGAACGATTGAGATATTAAAGAATTATTTTTTATTTTTAAACGGTAGTTGATAATATCCTTAAGCGGGAATTAAAAAAAAAAAACATTTTTAATACATGTCTTTATTGAGATTTTATAAATATTTAAAGATTCATAACTCCGAAAGTATTAACTGGATCGTAAAAATTCATTGGACATTTTTATTCACATTTTATCAAAGAATATAAATAAAATATTTTCTTAATATTTTATTCTTTTTCTTTATATATTTTAATGGGTTAAAATTATCTGAATTCTGGACTTTTTAAACCGTCCAAAATTCATAACTCTGAAAATATTAACATCATCGTAAAAAGTCATAAGCCTTGTTTTATTTGTATTTCATCAAAAAATATAAAAAATTGTCCCGTTCGAAAATAACAATTCCTGGCAATTGGAAAAATTAAAGGGAATCGCATAAAAAATTTGAGGCGGAATAGTTTTCGGTACTCGTACACCGATTCCTCCTGGACTAACTTCGTCATATAAGCAATGTCCGCTTTGTAAAAACGCGAGTGCCTGATTGAATTCGCCTTGCCCTCGCAGTTAGCGACGCCCGTATAATATGACATGTAGGTACTTACGAATATCCGGCAACTGTAATCTATTATTTAAACGTTGGTTGAATTTTAAATGTCGTTTGCATTTTTCTTCCCCTTTTTTCTCTGGATGTACCACCGGTGAAAGACCTTGTAACTCTCTACGGTGCGGTGTTTTCAAATTTTTTTTTTATATCCCTCACCCTATTCGATTCAAGAGGTGATTTATGTAATGGAGTAGCCGCCCTACTAGTTTCACCAAGTCCATTTTTCTGTTTATTTTCATTAAAATTATTGTATTCTTTCTTGTCACTCTCAATGAAACTTTCTTCCTCGTCACTTATAGAAATTATACTACAGTCTTTATTGTTTGCTTCGTCTTTAATAACTTTATAGTCCCAGTCCAAGTCTTCGTTTCTTTGTCTAAAAGTAACGTATTTTAAGTCAATTTCATATGTACTTCTAGTCTTATTTGATACTGCTTCACCGTGTTCCGTGCTAGATCGAGCTGGCGAACCTGATAAGCTATTAATGGTTTTTAGTGGAATTCTATTATTCTCGCTTACTGCAACTTCTTGAATTTTCTTGAGTAATAATTTTTTAGGCAAGGCTGATATATTTTCTTTGTCCATGTCTATATCACTTGTTTTAACCGTTTTTATTATATTTTGAGGACCGATCACGATCAACACGTACTGCATAAGACCTCTAACAACATAAGACCGTTACCTAAGGAATCATTTACCATCTACCTACACTAACAACTTATAAACTTATTATATTATTAATTAAGATTTTTGACTAGGATGCTTCTCCTTTAAGCCACGTCTTCATTTTATTCGGGATCTTCGTCTGTATAGATTTTTTTCTTCACAATATGCTGATGCATCATATTGCTCAGCTCAGCTCAATCCAGCGAACAGTCGATGGCGACAGTCACTCAAGTTCATAAGGCACCTAAGCGATCAAAATAACTTGAAATTTGTATCAACATCAAAGCATTTGTTTCGTCGTTTTCTCTAATAGTTTACATTCGCAGACACTTTGTGTTGACGATGCTTGAGCGCAGTGAACTGTGAACAATCACACTAATAAGAGGACCTTAACTGCCTGTGTTTAATGATTAGGTATTGTTGAGTGAAATAACTCGCATAACTTGCACTAGTCAGGAAGAACAGAAATATATAATGTTGTCGACGACTCCGTGGCGCAGTGGCTTAGCAATGAGTAGCTGCGCTGGGGGTCGCGGGTTCGAATCCCGCACGGAACAAGTATTTGTATGTCCTACAAATATTTGTTCCCGGTCTGGATGTTTGTCCTTGTGCAATTTATGTTTGTAAACTGCCCCCACGATACAGGAGAAAATCTTAGTGTAGGGGTAACGTTTTTATCAAAAAACAAAAAAAAAACAATATAATGTACCTACATCTGTACCGCACGCCTGTAGGGTCAGCATATACGCAATATTTGTTAAGACACAATTTTATTTCCAAATCAAGCCATAAGTATTATTATAAACAAATATTTTTTATCATGGCACATCTTTGCCATGGTTACAACGCTTAGCAGGCGAATTATTGACCTCGGTATTTTGTTTACGTTGTTATCAAGAAGGTTTAAGTTCCCTCCGTCGCCACTTAAGATATTTCTTCTTATAAATGAAACGAAAAAGCACATGATAAATTCGCTTACTCTTTCATTAATGACTTATATAATATGAATATTATACATAATATACTTAAGGGTCATTCATTGATTACATAATAATGATTTTACCTACCTAGTGTGCTGGGGGTGTCGGGGGCAATAAATCGATCTAGCTAGGATTCGTAAGTACCTACATGTCATATTATTCATATACAAGGCAAGGCAAGGGCAAGGCGAATTCAATCAGGCAGTTGCACTCGCGTTTTTACAAAGCTGAAATTGCTTATATGACGAAATTAATCCAGGAGGAATCGGTGTACGAGTACCGAAAACTATTCCACCTCAAATTTTTTATGCGATTCCCTTTAATTTTTCCAATTGCCAGGAATTGTTATTTTCGAACGGGACAATTTTTTATATTTTTTGATGAAATACAAATAAAACAGGGCTTATGACTTTTTACTAAGATGTTAATATTTTTCAGAGTTATGAATTTTGGACGGTTTAAAAAGTCCAGAATTCAGATATAAAATTATCTGAATTCTGGACTTTTTAAAATATATAAAGACCCATTAAAATATATAAAGAAAAAGAATAGAATATTAAAAAAATGTTTTATTTATATTCTTTGATAAAATGTAAATAAAAAGGTCCAATGAATTTTTACGATCCAGTTAATACTATCGGAGTTATGAATCTTTAAATGTTTATAAAATCTCAATAAAGACATGTATTAAAAATGTTTTTTTTTAATTCCCGCTTAAGGATATTATCAACTACCGTTTAAAAATAAAAAATAATTCTTTAATATTTCATTCGTTCTCCAATTCTCAATTATATCGAAAATATATGATTTACGGTAAAATGAACTAGAGCTAGGTTTCCTTTCCGCTGCAATACGTGCTCAATAGTCAGGGAAGACTTGTTACCTAATTGGGCATTTAGATGCTCCTTTAATATTCTACTGTTTTTTTTATGAGTAAAAATTCATTCGTAAATATTTAGAATATTACGTATACCATACGGCTTGACTCACTGGCACTGCGAAGAGATATTACATCTCTTTGCGTATTTTATCGCATCAACTACGAGGAGTGCTCTCAGGAATTGTTCGAACTAATTCCAGCCGCACAGTTTCACCATCATACATCGCGACAAAACTCGCAATACCATACATACCATCTGGATGACTGGCGGTCCACTACTAAGCGATTTAAAAAAAGTTTTCTTCCTTGTGGAATCAACTACTACCAGAGATTTTTCTGAACCGATACGACTTAGCGACCTTCAAGAAAAGAGCCTATTTCTTTTTAAAAGGCCGGCAACGCATCTGCAATCCCAATGGTGTTGCAGCTGTTTATGTGCGGTGGTACTCACTTACCATCAAGTGAGCCGTATGCCCGTTTGCCCCCTCTCGCATAAAAAAAAACATATTAGTCTAGTATTAGAAATGTTGGTACTTAGTTAAATTTTTCATGCCTTGGCAAAAGCTGTATTAAGAAGTTGTATCGCAGAATCTTAAAACTCTCTATAGAATATATATACGCACTGGAGCAGAGTGAGTTTCTTTTAAGAAAGGTCTTATTTCTCAGAGACTTACGTACCATTTTCCTAAAAATATTTTCTTTCTGTTTGAACTACATCGAGAGTGATTATGTCAATGATCTGTTCGCTCATTTACTAAGTATTGAAAGACCTGTATCCGTGCCGAGAATACCCAGCATCACTCGTACACATGTCCTTAATTGTTTATTAAGAATTAACGTAAGTACTAAATTGACATTTCCTAAAATAAAATAATTTTTGTGTGTAATTTTCTTTTTTGTTGGGGAAGGACCACGCTCTTACAAAACACAAGCGTATAATAGCAGCTTAATGCTGCTGTGTTTTGTATGGTGAGAATAAATTTTCGTTGCTTATTTTGCTCAGGTAACCACAAAGCCACAGATTCTAGATGTCCTGAACACACAAAACAAAATAATATTAAAATTGAAATGGCACAAAATTCTATCTCATACTTAGAAGCATCTCAAAAATATCCTCAAGTTTCTTCAAAATCATATGCTGATGTTTAGATTTCAAAAATCCCTGAAAATTTTTCGCTTTCTACTAATCCTACAATTTTCCTTCCAACCCCGCTACATCTAATAAAACTTTCAAAACCATTACTTCAGCATTCACAAACAGGATACGACAAAAAAGTCATCAAAAAATTATTGAAGATTTTTCAATTCCGCAACCTGAGGATGGCTGTGCTCTTCGGGCTTCACCAGTTACTTCACAGGGTGATTTTGATTCTGTAGAAAGCATTATAAGTTTCTTTATTAATATAATCATATCTTCGCATTCGTCGAAGCTACTATCCCACGTTGCTTGCTTACTAAATTCAATACCTAAAATTCTGCAAGACATTCACTCTCACAAATATCCTTCAATGGAATTGTAGAAGCATTTTAGATACACGTACTGAAATAATTTATTTATTAAAAAAATACAATGTGTGTATCGCTGCTATTTCAGAGACATAGCTAAAACCGTATTCGAACATCAGAGTACCGGGTTTTTTCTTGTTCGAAGTGACAGATCTGATGGTTATGCCGGATGTGCTTTGCTTATGAAAAATAATATAAGTTATTCCATTATAGATGTTTATGATGAAATATTTGACTTTAATATTGTAGCAGTAAGAATTCAAAATATTACTTTCGTTTCTATTTATGTTCCCTCCCCTTCTGTCCATACGTTTCGCAGAATAAAATCTTTAATAGCCTCCTTACCCAAACCATTTATAATTCTTGGTGACTTTAATTGTCATCAATATTTATGGGGTAATAATACTGATGAATACGGTAGTTTATTAGTTGAAATAATTGACGAACTTAACATTGGTGTCCTTAATACTGGTAAAATTACGAAACGCTCTCGACCTAATGAGTCTAGAAGTGCTGTAGATTTATCAATTTGTACCCCTGATTTAACCACTCTTCTAAATTGGTCAGTTCTAGATAGCTCTCACGGCAGTGACCATTTTACCATTCTGATTTCCTTTCCGAACAAAGAATTCGCAGAAATTAACAAAAAACCATGTATTAAATACAAATTAGACAGAGCAGACTGGAACCTGTAAAATATTTTTCTTTACAATGAAATTCTAAAAATCACTCCTATTTCTGAAAATAATATAACTTCTATTGTTGAAACATTTACAAACGCGGTTATAAATGCAGCAGATCAAACAATTCCTGTTAAAACTCTAAATAATAAATGTAGGCCCTCCCCTCCATGGTGGGATTCTGAATGTACTGAGGCCATTCGTAATAGGAAAAAGCCGAAAAACAATATAAATTAGACATGAGTTCGGAAAACTATTCATACCTTCAACGTGTACAAGAAGTAACTAAAAATACTCTTTGCACAAAAAACCAAACAAGTTGGCATGCTTTTTGTTCCTCAATTTCTCCTTCAATACCTTCATCAGTTGTTTGGCGTAATATTAGAAAATTTCGCTGTTGTTTTTCATCTTGTTCTTACAGTGTTGCCATTCCCTCTCAATCTATAAACACTTTTCTAGATAAACTTGCCCCCTCTTCTGCTCCTTTGAGAGAGGAGCTATCTCAAAGTATTCCATGTGATTCTTTTTTTGATCCCTTAGAACGTCAATTTTCTTTATATGAATTAAAGCTCGTCCTTTCTCACGTTCACGATTCAGCTCCTGGTTTAGACAGTATTCAATATTCATTACTTGCCAAATGTAATGATCAAATTTTATCCTACTATTTAAATATCATTAACGTTTTGTTTGACATAGGCTTTGTTCCTGACTTTTGGCGGACTCAAGTAATTATTTCTATCTTGAAACCTGACAAAAATCCTAACGACGGCTCTTCCTATAGACCGATCGCTCTATCCTCAACTCTAATTAAAACCTTTGAGCATATGATCAAGAACCGTCTCGAATGGTATGTAGAAAGTCATGGATTGTTAT